AAAGGCTAATATTCACATCGGAAATAACTGGTGCCTAGCTAGCTGGTCTTACAGCTCCTGACTTCTCAGTAACACAGAAAGAGAGGTCGCCATATATATATTTTTTTTCGTCTAAATTCGGGCCGCTTCGGCTTTTTTCACTTTTTTTTCCCCGCCTCCTGACATTTTAAAGGTTCTTCTCTTCCGGATGTCACGCGATTGATTGAAAGGAAAAAGCAACGTAGTAAAATAAACTTGGATTTGGTTGCAATTCCAACCCCCTTTTTTTTATTGGTCATAAGTCTTTAAGTTTGTTTCGGGTGATCTGGTGAATGTCGCGGGTCGTTCCAATTGAAATCAGTCTTTGATACGGTCTAGAAAAAGAAATTTGTTTACGAGTTGGCCGGAGTTCAACCAGAAATGTATATTAGGAGTATGCAAAAGTTTCCAGCGTTTTCTGAAACAGGTTTTCTTGTATATTCAGCTTCTACTTAAAAAAAAAAAAAAATGGCGGTTGCGTGCACCCTTCATAGTTTACCTTGAATTTCATGACTTGGTGAATATTTATGTGCGTTATTAAATTTAAAAAATTTTTAAAACTTAACTATATTTTTACTTCTGTTTATAAATACATATTTTTATAAAATAAAATCATTATATTTGCTTTGATAAAGAGATTCGGAGGACGAAACGCGTCGGTAAAGAATAGTTATCCCTTTTCACACACACTCACATATATGTATATTATACCTTTGAACCCATATCTTCCCGATTCTCGAAATATACATATCTGCTCTGTTTCGTATCCTAAAATAAACAACGTCAATTTTTAGGAAATGGATTAAATCGGACAAATTTTTAATTTATTTGTTTAAACGCTATTTTAAAAGGATACGCATATTTGAGTGATGCTCTGTTTATATTTATTTACTTATTTATTAAACAGTATACTTATTTATTTACATCTACCGGCCTAAATATTCGAAAAATATTGCTAGAAAAATATGGATCCTCTGGCAGATTTCGAACCTGCGTCGCCTAGGAGGAAAGCACTATTCGGGCTTTGTTTGATCAGAAGATTCTATCTTCCCGAGTGGTCCAATCGGCACGCCAGATATAATGTCGATTTCCACACGCACGCAGATACACACACACACACACACACACACACATATATATATATATATATATATATATATATATATATAATTTAAGTAATAATATATGTAATTTAGGCATTTACGTCCTTTTCTTTTGTGATTTAATTTTAAAATAATTTTAATAAATTGTCTGGATAAATTTAAATCATTTTGTAATTTCGGTTTGAATAAACATAAAAATTATCTGTCAAAATAAATCTATTACCTAGTTCTTCGATGATGTGTTAAGTTTTTTCCTCATATATATATATATATATATATATATATATATATATATATATATATATTGAAATTCTTGCAAAAATCAGGTAATTATCGAATTTTAATGAAATTTCCAGGTCTTATTTAGTAATGAATTAACTTATTTTTTTAATGTCTGGTTTTCAGAAAATCTTGGTAAAAATATTTTTTACATTTGGTTTTTTAATTTTATGAAATCGAGAAATTCATTTTCATAGCGATTAATATTTATATTAGTTATAAGCAGAAGTCCTTGGGCAATTTAAGAATTTTTTTTATAAACAGTACACCCAGTTACAGAAAATCTATTCTGAATTATGAAATGAAAAATGCAATAAAACTAAGACATTTTTTTAATTAGAAAAGCTTATGACTAAAATAGTTTATAGAAAGTATTACCTGAAGAAAAAATTTTCTAATGTATTATGAATTTTTAAAGGAATTGTTTTCATTTTTTTTTAATTTTAATTATATTTTATATCTTTTACAATTATGTATTACTTTCTAATATTGTTAAGTAAAAACTATATATACTAATCATAAAGGAAAAAGCTTGCTACAATTCAGCGAACCTCAGTATTTTAAAAAGAATTTAGAATTTTGTGTGCGTGCGTTTGTGTATAAACGTGCCCTTTTTTGTAAATACGGACGTCCATACACCATATTATCAGAAAATAAAAGTGGTAACTACAGTAAATTTAAAATTAATTCGTAATTGTCTAACATTTCTTCAAAAAGCGACTTTCTAATTAAGACTATAAGACAAAGTAACTAAAATTCAATAAAATACTATATTACTTAGAATATTTTCCTATTTTTTTTAAGATTACTGAGTAGTTAAACATTATATAAAAAGGCGCTCACGTTATATTCATAAAGTCATTTTTACAGTTATGTCCTTTGTAGAAAAAATTCCCAAAAATGAGTTTATCGAGATAATTGACAACACTACATAAAAGCATATACCTCTGTGTTAAAAAATACTTCACTGCGAAGTTTTAAACTGAAAGTAGGTAATATTTGTTTCAAATCAGATTAATTAAACTTTAAATTAGTTAATATTTATCAAATAAAATTTCAGAAAAATATATTTTATTTTTGAAAGATTTTTTAATAATGAGAAAATCATGTTAGCAGAATCGCTAATATGCATTATTTTTGGCAATTTTAACGATTTAAAAAAGCCATTCTAATCAATTTAAATTTCGGCTGAAATACAGTAAGTTATTTTGTTTATTGTAAATATTAAATTTAATTTATTAGCTTGGAATTAAAACTGAAATAATAATTTCAAGAAAGATGTTTCGCTATTTACATTATTCGGACTATTTTCTCATCTTTGTTGCCATATTTATAACAACGTTTCGACCGTTGTATGCTCCGACCTTCTTCAGGTGGTTGAACTGTCGAACTGAAACCTTTATTTCGCTCGCTGGGGTAGACTGATCTAGTTCCACGTGCCATGTTTAATGGTTGTCAGTTACCAGTCATGTATCGAAAGATACATGATCGCCTAAGCGTGTATCACGGATGACAAATGACTGACTGACTGTCCCTTGGGAAAGGTATGAATCCTCTTTTTCTCTCTCCGGCACTTGATAAATAGCAGAACAAAGCGGGTTCTATAGCCTTGGATGGCAACTGGTCTACCGCAGAAAGAAATGGCAAACTACTGCGGGGGAAAATCTGCCTCGTCAGTCATGTATCGAAAGAAACATGATTGCCTAAGCGTGTATCACGCATGGCACATAACTGACTGACTGAACCTTGGGAAAGGTATGGATCCTCTTCTTCTCCCCACCCCAACAGGTTTGAGTAAATAGCAGGACAAACCGGATTCTATAACCTTGGATGGCAACTGGTCAGCTATAGAAAAAAACTGGCAACGTCAGTCATGTATCGAAAGATACATGATCGCCTAAGCGTGTATCACGAATGGCACATAACTGACTGGCATTTAGGTGCTTATGCGTGAGCCTTGAGCACAGCTTTGTTTTATTGATACTCATTACAGAGAAAACTTGTTCACAAAGGTAGGTAGTCGCATAAAACTTTCGCTGCAAGGGCTGTCAATTTGGGGTACTTTGGCAGAGATAATGCTAAAAAAATATGTCCAAGCCCACCAAGGTAAACTTGTTCTTCAAATCTGAATCACAGTGTAAGTCAGTCAAGTTGGATATTGACGAGCAGATCAGAGATATTAACTGTAAATGGCGAGCGAATTTTTGTGAAATCGGTTTCATCAAACATCTGAAACCGTAGCTCAAACCCGTAGCAGCAATCCCGTGGTATTGTTTTTGTGTCTATTCATGTCAATATTATCTGCGGTCGCAACCACATGTTTTAGACAAGGAAAATGAGCAAGGTCTCCACCTGACATTTGTGTCTCCCACAAAGCTTCAAATTGAACGCGCGTATGCTTTCAAAATACTGTGTGACAAATTTTACGGCCTTGCAGCATTTTGTTCAGATTATTCAAGTGCTCTGTAATATCCACGGTAAATGCTAAATCTTGCAGCCATTTTGATGATTCTGGTTTGCCCTTTTTCTCCATGAACCGTTCAATTTCTTCCCGTAGATTAAAGAAACGCTTCAACACATCACCTCTGCTTAACCACCTTACCTCGGGGTAATATAACAAGCCGTAGATCAAGGGTCTGATCCGGCCCACGGAGGCATTTTGACCGGCCCGCGAGCCTGATTAACAATGACTTTATTTTTAACATGATAGACGACCTTCAAATGAAATTTGTTATATGTCATTTTTCATAGAATGTCTACACATCTCAGTGCACTAAAAATATTAGACTATCTGCCAGTTATCTTTCATGAGTCTTATTTTACCAAGTTGCGTTGCCTACATTTAATGTCAAATAATGGATACATATTTGTTCTGACCCTTGGCTACATTAAAAGATAACAGAAGCGAAAGGAACGATAAAGTGAAAGAGGCCAGGGAGGGACTGACATGCGAGGTAGCAGAAATCTAAAGACAGTTAAACATACACGCATTATACATACATGCCTCATGAATGTGTGGATGATACCGCATGTGTACGTACGTAAGTGTATATGTTTGCAACTATTTGTACTCGTATTTATGGGTATATGTGCTTCGTTTTTGTTTGATGTGTGTGTGTGTGGTTCGTTTGTGGAACAATTTTCAATAACAGTTTCAAACCTACACGTCATAATTTCATCCATTTCACTTCGGTTGATTTTTTTCACTTTGAAGTATTTTGACGTTCCTTGAGGAAAAGTAATTTTTGTTAGGTGTTTTTTAATTTTAGATTTTCTGTTGTTTTTTTTTTCTGATTTCTCAATGTTTATTTTCATTATGGTTTTAAATATTTAGGTTGACAGGGGTCTGCATATGTAATTTTCCTTAATTTTTCATTAATGGCCTTCGTCCGGCCCGCCACCCGTCATTATAAAACGATCCGGCCCACGGGGTCGAATGAGTTGCCGACCCCTGTCGTAGGTAATGCCTATATCGCTGAGAAGATTATCAACCTGACGGTGATTCAGACTTCGAGCTTGAATGAAATTAACAGTTCGGACAATCACTTCCATGACGTGATCCATTTTAATGTCTACCAACACAGTGCCTCCTGGTGCAAAATGCAGAGAAAATCACGTCCTCCATTTGCAGTTTATACTTTCTCTCTGAACTGCATCACAACACTGACTGTTTTTTTCCTAATCATTGATGAAGAGCCATCTGTAGCCACGCTGACTTCACAGGCCTTGTCCACTCCGACCCTGTCCAGAGCTCCAACGAGAGAGATGAAAAATGTCATTTCTGTTGTGGTGTCCCATCATAGGAACCAACTCCAGGAACTTCTCG